AATCGAAGAAGGTGAATGGCAAACCCGTCCACTGATTCGAGCCACGTTTTGGCAGTAGGGCCATCTGCATACCCTGAAAGAATGTCGGCCGCCAACAAGCCTTGCATGAGGAAGACCTTTCGGAGATCTGCAATGGCCAGCGGCTTGCGGGGTTGATCAGGGATCGGACATATCGCGAGGCCAAATGCACGGGTGAGCAGTTCTTGTTGATTCGAATTGCCCTCGCCAGAGAAGATGGCTCGGAAGAATGTCCGATTTGGCTCATCCCGCGCCAGAAGCTTGGCCAGACTGTCAACAGCCGCGGGAGTGTACTTGTGTACAGACGGATTGTATGATGTAAACATGATGCCTTCTGAACCAATCACTGGGCCCGGAAATGGGGCGAACGACAAAAGGAAATGTAGGAGACACAGAGCTTCTTCCTTGCTGGGCAGCTGAATGGTGTGAGCAACGTTGCTCAAATAAGTCACAGTGTCCTTCATGAAATCCAAAGTGTTCTGGTGTGTCCGTAGCAGCATGTTGCGAGTACCCAGATACCGGATTATCGTTGACATGAATTGGACAACAGGAGGCGTCGACAAAATTGCAAAATTGGAATCTGAGAATGAAAAATTCCGCAGGATAGTCGTTATGCAAATGAGCCTATCAACAGCTCGATCTAATTCGTAATCAAGGCTTCCGAACTCAGGCACGTCAGCCAAAGATGTCCATTCGGACTGACAACCACGAGTCACTTCCTCATATGAGGATAGAAGCATCGAGTCCGAAACCTCAGGAGAATGTTCTGCAAGGAACTCTGCTTGATCTTCTGCGCACTCTATCAGACTCTCTACCAGGTCGTCACAATTATCCAATGAAACTTGAATTGCAGGCTCTGACGAAACGGACGCGAGGGTGTCCAATGCCACGCGCATCTCGGCATGGATTCCAGACTTGATGCTCATGGTAAGGGCGTGAATGTCGATGACCCCAAGCTCAGCAAAAGCAGGAAGATTCGGCTTTAGCCTCGTGATGTCTTCTCCAATCTGATACATCTCATCCACAACTATAGGACCATGGAAGTTGCTTTCAGGAAGCACCATTGGCTTGAAGGGATCTTCGATAGGCTGTTTGAGAGGCATATTAGAAGGCTGATCTACTGGCTCCGGTTTACCGGGTACTGATATCGAGCCTTTGCCACGCTGCGCAGGGGATTGCCCGGGGATTTGAGTGCTAGGATCATGCGGCGTTGGGGGCGGCTGGGATTGACGCGATATACTGAGGCGGTGCTGGTTCTGTTGTTTGCTCTGTGTTTTTACCGGCGTTGGAGTTGCGAAGCCATTTGCAGCATTGTGTTGTACATTATTCGGACCAGGAGCACTACCAGGGGAGGGGTGCCCCATCTGCTGTGGAGTTTCGAAGCCTTGGACTGGCTTTCCCGCTGGCGACTGTAATTGCATACCCGAAGGATCGCTAGGCTGCCGAGACAACGACGACTGCTGCATTTGTTCCGCATATTGCTTTTGTTGGTTACTGAGGAAGGCTTGTTCGTACGCTGCAAGGTTCCGCTGGTAATGTTCCCGAATTTCTTGCGCGGCCATCGGGACCTGCATCGGGGGAAATTGGAGCTGTGTGGCGATAACTTGCCACATATTGGTGGCTGTAATCTTCTTCGACCCTCCAAGTTTCATGACGGTAGCGTAAAGTTGGACAAGATTGATCGGACGACCACACACATGTGGGTTAGGATCCAAAACAAGATTGCGCGACATCATGAACTTCTGCAGGGACCGCATGAATCCTTCTGGGTTCATGGGTTTCGCCATGGTCTGCTGCATTTGCCTGATAGCTGCCATTTGCTGGGGGTTCGCCATCGCGTTCATCCCAGCTGCCATGGGTCTCCCGGCCATGGCAGGGTTCATTACCATTGGACGGCCTTGTTGTTGCATCTGCATGGCATGCAGACGTTGTTGCTGCTGCGCGGCAATTGCTTGTTGATAGCCTTGTGGCATACCACCAAAATGAGCCTGCATTGGCGGTTGCACACCGGCGGTCGTCATTGCAGACGCGGGAGCAAATTGAGAACCCATGCCCGGTGGAAACGGCTGCCCCGGCATGAACGTGTTATTTTGGGGTGTGTTCACCCTGCTCGGATGATCCGACTGCGTCGGAGACATGTGTGTCCCTACTTGAGGGCCTGCTGGTGTGAATGGGCTCGGGGAAGCAGTTCCCATCCTTTGGATGCCATGTTGATCGAAGTCTTGCATGATAGGCGACTGGGTCACATTCGGAGACGCTCCTTGTTGGAGATGCTGATACGGAGTTGGATGCGAGGGAAATTGCGGCGCGCCGTTCGCAGCACCTTGATAGCCGGGGAACGGCACCTGGTGAGGGGTTTGCGAACGGGAGGCAGCAATGCCGCCAGGAGCTTGCCTTGGCGACATTGACATACCATCCTCCGGCCGTGGCCGCTTGGACGGAATTACCTGGTTCGGGTTGTGGAAGCCAGGCGAGACATTGCGAGGCACGCCGTTGAACATGCGCTGGTATTGGGTCGGGTCAGGAGTGGGAGAGGCTTGGAGGAATGCCTGAGAAGGATCAATGGTCGCCTGGTGAAAAGCACCATTGTCATGGTTCGGAAGGTTCAAGGCGTCGGCTGGCCAGGCATTCATGTCGAGTAGTTTTACCAACCCATCTGCGAGGCGAAGCAAGCTATCAGAAAAATTGACACATGGATTGGGGAGCCATCATCAAGCCGCGACGAGGGGAATGGGGATCTCAAAGTCATCATGACCTCCATCAATGGGAAGGAGTGGAGACGATGAGTGTCGATGAAATGATGAGGAGGGGGCAGACGCGTCAAGCTTGGTGCAAGAGCTGGCAGAGAGTCGCGCTTCGCTCTGCGACACGAGCAAAGCAACAGCCACACCTCAGCGTGCAATGAGGGGACAATGGGGGAGAATGGTGATGGGGAAGGTAGTGAAAAGGGGATCGAATAGGGTTGAAAATATCAAGAAGGGAAATGGAAAGGGACAGATAGGATGGATGTACATACCGACAAGGCTGGATAACTAAAAATGCCGACTCACAAGCGGATGGAGGCCGGGTCCCGAACAGCAGTGGTTGGAAAGGGCCGGCGAGAGATTGCGAGGGAGAGGAAGCAGGTCACGGGACCCAGTAGTACTGTTCGGGGAGGGAGAGAGAGAGTTTCCAAGTTCTGGGAGCGCGTACCCGGCAGAGGCGAGAAGACTCGGGAAGGCAGCAACAACCAACTGGTGGCTGAGGGCGGGAAAAGACAGTAAGTAAGCAGAAAGTCAAGTCAGAGGGCTCAGAGCTAGCTTGGCACGAGGAAAGTAAGAGAGAAACCAAGGTCGGAGGGTCTGGACCAGGTGGGTAAAAGCTTCGGGACAGATCGAACAAGAGATGGATACAGTAGACAATGAGATAGCACTGCACTTCCGTCTAATTCTATGACATGACAGCCTGGAGACGGAGAACCATAGACAGAAAGAGGGAGGGCGTTACAAAGTGCGTGGTTCAAGGTAGTTTCCGAGGAATGGCGAAAGGGTGGCTCGTCCTTCTTTAGTGCGTGGCCACAGTTTTGGAGGAGGGAGGGGAGTGGAAGAGTGTGTGTGTGAAGCGTGTGGGTGTGTGTGTGTGTGTGTGTGTGTGTGTGTGGGAGCGATTCCAATGGCTGGCACCACATAATGGGCGGGCAGGGCGTACCTTGTTCAATGTACCTAGTCTTGTAGGTACACTCACCGTACCTTGGGAATTTGGTAATTTATCTTGGATCTTATTTTAGAATTTCAGGGTAATTTTTGTTTTTCGCAATTTGGCGCTGAAAGAGATGGACGAGATATGGGGGAGGGGGGAGAAGAGGGTCTGGCTTTTGGGGTTTCCTTTTGGAAAGGTGGAGTTGCGAAGGAAAGACAAGAATGGAGACAGGACGTGGAGAGGGAACACAGAAGCGACACCTCAGGACACGAAACGGAGGAAGAAGAGGAAGAATAGACGAGATAACGAATGAGAAGAGAGTGGGAAATCGGTATGAAGCGTGATGTATGACAGACAGTTGATCTTACTCCAAGCAATGAACAGCGGCAGCAGCAGCAGCGAAAAAAAGTAGCAGTTCCATGCAGTGGAAGGAGGTGGCTAAAGTAGAAGGCGGTCTTAGACGGCAAAATACTCATCCGGATCTGTTCCACTTGGGGTTGGTTGTCTAAGCTACAACAAAGTACTCAGCAACTAAGATCATATTAATTTTTCGGAGTGAATATCTGCAATACTTGATTGCTGACAATAAGTTACGCCTTCCCAATCCTGACAGAGATACCACCAGACCGGCCTGTCGGGATTGTTACCTACTACGGACTACGGACCTAATAGATTCTGACGTATCAACAAAATGAATGAAACTCATCCAGCATCCCATGCGCGTCCACTGTAAGTCGTCAACCTACTCCGTAGTCAAACTAAGAATAAAAAATTGATCATGACAATAAATTTTCCCGCCTTCAGGGCTTGGCTCTTGGGTCTTGTTGAACGAGGTGACATTCCATGGCCTGTGCGGAGGATCAACACCCCCAACAATGAATTTCCACCCACTACCTCGCCTGTTTTTGTGACTTCAAGGAGTTTAGTATCTACGATAGTAACTACTATTTAACCTTACTTACACCTTTGTACTCACATTACTTAGTACTTAAACATCGACGGCGTCCGCAAGCGCTGCCAAGCGAGGACCTGCCATATCGGGAAGGTAGCCCAACTGGCCGGGTCGTACCAGCACAAGCTGGCTGTTTCACCCATCTGGTACAGGCTAGGAAGAGGGATCATCGTGAAGGATGACAACAAACATGATCTGGTGGGGAGTCAACTATCAGCACAAACGACTTCACGGATGCCCAATGGGAAAGCTATAAAGAGCATTTCCCTTTTCGCTTGTCTGAGCCATTCCGCTTCAACTAAGCACCTCGAACCATTTCTCATCTGGATTACTTACTTGACTTCCTATCAAGATGGCAACATCTAAAGAATGGCAGAAGATGCTCAACGGTGAGCTCTACTGGGCATGGGACGCAGACCTGCAAGCCAACCGCCAGCGATGCAAAGCAGCATGCGACAAGTTCAATCAAGCAGGTCAGGTATCTCGACGTCGTAGGGTGGAACTATGGAGAGAGTGAGAAGCACCAAGCTCATTCGTCACAATGCTTATTCCTACGAATCATCAAGCTGATCTGGTACCATAAAGTATTGTTGGTGACACTCGTCCTCTCCCCCCAGCCCTCTCCGATGCCCAGGAAGACGAGAAGCTTTTCAACGAGACGGATCCATTTGTGGATCCTCCGATCTCTGTCGATCACGGATTGAACTTCAAAGTGGGAAAAGGCACATTCCTCAACTTTAACCTTCTCGTGCTTGACACCTGCCTCGTTACAGTCGGCGAAAGGGTGCTTTTTGGTCCTAATGTCTCTATCTACGGCGCCATCCATCCCATGGACCCCGCCGTGAGGAATGGACTTGAAGGCCCTGAAGCTGGCAAGGAAGTGCACATCGAAGATGATGTATGGATCGGAGGTAGTGTCATAATCCTCGCTGGGGTCACGATCGGGCGTGGATGCACCGTGGGAGCTGGAGCTGTTGTAACAAAGGCACGTGGATCCGCACGACTCCGAGTACAAGACTAATCACTGACTGTTGATGATTCTTTGTATAGAGTGTACCACCGTTTCATTTCGTTGCAGGAAATCCTGCTCGAATCATACGCAAGATAGAAACAAGTATGGATCCTGACCAGCAGCCAAAAGAACTTGGGGCGAAATGAGACAGACTACATCCACATCGGTATCTCTCTATGATGATCACAATCGCGCTAGATACTTTCTCATCAATCAAACCATATTTGCAGCACGCTCTAACTGTTTCAGTGAGTGATGTCTGAAGAACGTTCCAGTATGACCACTTCCACAAGCAAGATCTGTACAGTACACAACCTGTGGGTGCCATATTGCTAATGATCGAGCTTGTCTACGCAGTACGATTTACCCAGTCGATCAGAGTATCAGATAGTCATGTGGCCGCACCAGCCCGGGAGCCTGTGTCTATAGGCGTCGGTGAGCTTGGAATGAATTGGGGCCAGGGATAGGTAGCTTACAAAGGTCGTCCATGATATGTTCGTATCATCATCGGGACTTTGAGCCGCCCGGGCATCCCAGACCTTTTTTAACAAGTCGTTCGGTACTGGGTTCCGAAACTCAGACCTTCTCTCAATTTCGCGCAGTCGTCCCAGAATATAATACCGCGAATGAGGTGACAGACAGTCCGCCCCGGCCATGAACAGAGGTAACACGACAAGCTCTATAACTGAGCAATCGGACGAGATCATCGCTGTCGCGTCGAGAATCTTTATTACACATTCCTGTATCTCCGAGTCGCGAGCTGGTCTATGCGGATCCATCAAGCGTAGTATACGCAACACACACGCAAACTTGTGGGCTTCTGCTATAGCCATCCACAATGGATCCGAGGTGGGATAATTCCTGCAGTGAGGGTCCCACGAATAAAGCTTCTGCTTGGCCAGGTGCAAGGCAAGTTGATACTCATCCCATGATAGCCAGCCCAGCATGTGCTCTTTTGACTTTTCCAATGCATCGCCGATGATTAGAAAGATTTCACGCGGGACTCCATTGACCTGCTCGAACATGTCATCGCATGCATAGGCGACCAGGTCTCGAACATCCTGGGAAAAGCACATCCGTTCGGCGCCAGCAAATGCTCGGACGATGTCAAGCCTATTGCTAGTCGTCAGTAGGATTGGCACGGACGCTCGCGGCACGGGTGACAAACCAAGCCAAATTCCCTAGAAAGAAGACCGCTCGCTGTCGACGGCCATTCAACCCGTCGGCAATCAATTGTTTATATACGGACATGGCTCCTGTGATATGGATTCCATGAGAAGATACCCCTGATTCGCTTATCTGCATGTATATCAGCCCAGTGTTCGAAGCAACAGCCATGTTGGGTCTTCCGACTGGTTGAGCTTACATCGTGGAGTAGCAAAAGTTGAATTATAGCGAGGACTGTGTCCTGTTCCTCTTCTCGCAGCGATGTCCGCTGACTCTTTCGAATCTCCCCACTCAACGCGCGTATTGCTTTCAGTCGATACTCCACGGCGGTAGCTTCGTGCATTGCTTCGTCCCCTATGAGCCTGCCAAGATGGGAGGCAGATAATCCTAGAACGGCATATAACAAGCCAATCTGCTTCCGTGCTAAAGGAAGGATAAATGCTCTATATGGGTTTTTGTCATCATCCCCAACCTCGGCAATCTGATGAGGACAGATGACTTTATCGTCTAAGAGACACTGTTAATGTTTCCATTTCCCGAAAACATCGGCTCCCAGTAGGGATGGTCTTACAATGCGTCAATAGCCTCTCAGTGAGAGGTAATACGAGGACTGTGCTAATGTCGTCTGAAAGCTCTGCCAGCGGCTGGTTGGAATCATCGGAGATAGATGATTCTTTAGTGGGGGATCTCGAGCTGTCTCCAGCCATAGCCACCGAAGTCGATCCTGTGACACCGTCCGATAGCCCTTCTGTTGCGGAAGACTGTTCTCTGGTCAAAGCTCTGTTGCTGACAGGTATACGTGCCCCTTTCCACTTTCCTCGACTAGCGATACCACAAAATCTGAACTGCTCTGGATATCCTCCGCATACCAACCCTTTGGAGATACAGCGTTCACAGCTTGGTCGACCACGATCGCACTTGCGGCATTTTTCCCGGCACGTCAGGCATGCCGGACCTGCAGCAGTATGTGAGCAACAGTGGTAGATACCTCAAGAGGAGATCGCAGCTGGGTGCACTCATACCAGCTCGTGGCATTCTGCCGTCCTCTCATGGGCGTTCACCGTACGACAGTTCTTTCGCTGCTGTCCACGCGACACCAGGAGTTCAAAGCGATGACATCACCCGTATAAGCCACAGAACCACATACGAGGTTCTAAGAATGATCACACAGTCTGTTGACGGTGGTGTACCTTATGTGGGTTCCCGTCTTCTTGTTTCACAAGGGACTGATGTTATCGCCCAAGTAGGCTGGGTGATTTACCCGATCAAGGTACTGGTGGGGCTGTGGAGTGATGACTAAGGACCAGTTATGCACCCACTTTGAATCACGACTGCTGAATAAGGAACTGCGCAATTTCCACATATCCAGCCGTACATGCAGTTTGCATCTGCATCAACTTGTCTGGTCCACTGCAGCTTTGGGCTATTCGACTTGCTCCCAGCTAGAAACTAGGATTGCACGGATATAAGCCCCTCAGGATGTGGCAATTTTCAGGTGGCTCTGTCGGGGGATCAGCGGCCGGATCCGGAAACAGCCTTGGTCGAATACGAACCGCAAGCCGACAAGGAACCATGACCATTAATGTTCTAGAAACGCTAGTGAGAAGGGTGATGCAAAGATGCCACCAGCAGGATTATCAAACTCGGTCGATCGCCATGATGCATATGAAGCTTGCATTGCAGGGACCGGACATATGCACCCCGTGGGACGTCTCGCTTAAGTATGTAATCATGCTGATCACATCTGCTTGATATGCAGACTTTAAAACATTGGTGGGATGAGTATTACTGTAGTCGTCTGACTTACAGACTAATAAACTGACATGATGCTCAGTTGAAGTCAAGATGGTACTCATAAATGAGCGAGGTTTTATAGCATACCAATCTGAATTTACTACAGCAGACCCAAGCTAAACAAAGATATCTCGGTACTATGCATGGGCCATGTCAGGGTCTCTCAATTCCAGAAATACAATTCATACAGCTGGGCTGGCCCCAGCTTGGAAGTTCTTGCCAATAATGTCCAAAGTGAACCGATGGGAAGTTCGGTCAAGCAGGTAGTAAGAAGTGCTCAACACGGCGTAGAGTCAAAGTAACCATTTATGACTATTCGAACAGCTGCGGTGGATCAACCGGACATTCACACCATGACCATGGTAGATTAAGGTCACCGTGCTTGGCTCGAATTTGGATTAGCTTCACCTGTACTAAACGAAAAGGACCAGTAGTCTAGAGGTATCTGGCAGGTTCGTTCCGCTGAAGTCCATCGATCAGCAGCTTCTTCCTTGAGTTCAGGAGGTTCATTGAAATTGCTTCGCGGAGTACCTATGGCTGTGTATACACGAGCCCAAACTTATACAGGAATCGTTGGTTGATGTACTTGGTAGGTTTTTCATGCCAGCCTGCTATATATTGGTCCAAGGTTTGAACAATATACGAGATTTGACACTTAGAAACAGTTTCAGAAACGCTTGTCAGTTTTCTGCAAGAATGATACAATGATTGCCCATATTTTTCTGTCGCGACTTGGTCAATCTGAGTATATATCGTATCGGGCACGATGTGAGTTCGACGTGGTTGAAATGGGCACGGACTGAAATCATCCATGATGCAAGCATGCTAGATGATTGATAAATAGCGCCTGCTCTCGATGAGTGAAATGATTCAGGAGAGCCCTGGGACTTGCCGAAGGCCTGAGGGTACGTGGATACCTTCGTATCTCTGTGGTAGGATATAGTATTCTGTGTTTGATGTTGCTGTTTACAGAACATATTCCTTGCTAGGTAGGCTGAGTCTTTCCCGCTGGCCCAAGTCTGTAAGCTCGCGTCTGTTTTGAATAATGAAGTTGGCCAGATGCTGTGACGATAATATATGGTAGAAGCATAAGAGCTTAGTATAGAGTGACTTTTGCTACTATATCTCAGTATGCGGGATCCTCGATGCTAGTGGACCGATGACGATTTCTGCTGCCTTGGAAAGATCTCGAGAAGATGTAAAAATAGGTAACTCGTGACTACATCCATGATGGCTGATGTTAGCCAACCCGACGAGACCTGGACGCTTGTTCAAGTATCTGCGCGTCTATTGGACGATCAAATTCTCTAGCCATAAGAAGATGGACAGCATCGATTTTGTAAGGTCAGAGTGAATTGTATATAATCTGATACGCAACGACCGTGTCATTCAGCGGACTCAAAACATGATAGATCCGGTATTAGCTATGGATTTTAGGGTGTGAGTAATTTGTGCTTATGCTTTGAACGATCAGATATTCCAATTTGGGTGTTGATTCAAGAAAAGATTGTACGTAACCTACAGAGAGTACTGTGCTTGGCACTCACTTATAGATGGTTGCTGAATCGGGCTGACCGCGAAAGGTCTGCCTGAGGTTGCCACAAGATGCTTCTAGCTGACTGATCACATGACCAGGATCTGAGCTTCGTGAGCCCGGCTAACTGTCATCGACGCAATAGCTTCTCCAAACAATCAAGTTATCCTACAGCCCGCATCTAACGACTTTTGCTTCGTTGTGACTATATCGTCCCAAGAGACACAGCACCTTCATCTTCAGACTTTAACTTTCTGGTTCCGTTTTAGACATTCGCCATGGGAGACGTCGCCGTGGAGACTCCGGCGAACAACGTCACGCCTCACACCAAGGCAGCTCCATTGGACACCATCCCCAACATAGACTCGCTGGAGGGCACCGGAAACGACGGTGGCGATGAGTATGCAACTTTGAAGCGCTTACAGAGACACTTGGAGTACGTTCCGCAACCGCGTCGATGTCGCCTCAGCACGTATTGACCCTTGCCCAGGTACATTCAGCTCCAGGAGGAATACATCAAGGATGAACAAAGGTAAGGCATCCTTTTATCGCATACCGGTTACATAACTAACGATGAATAATCTTACAGGAGCTTGAAGCGAGAGCTTGTTCGTGCACAGGAGGAGATTAAGCGGATACAGAGTGTTCCCTTGGTCATCGGCCAATTTATGGAAGCAATCGATCAGAAGTATGATGCGCCAGCAATCTCAGAATAACAGTACTGACTCTTATTCATACAGCACCGGTATTGTGCAGTCATCGACCGGCTCGAATTATGTCGTCCGCATCCTGTCTACCCTCGACCGCGAGAAGCTCAAGCCTTCATCCTCGGTCGCCCTCCACCGTCACTCCAACGCCCTTGTTGATATCCTCCCCCCGGAGGCAGACTCCTCGATTGCTATGCTGGGCGAGAATGAGAAGCCAGATGTTACATATGCGGATGTTGGTGGTCTTGATATGCAGAAGCAGGAGATTAGGGAGGCGGTCGAACTGCCTCTGACGCACTTTGACCTTTACAAGCAGATCGGTTCGTCTTCCCCTTTTGATTAGACCCCATTCTTTTGGTGCAGCCACAGTCTTGGGAATATCTCTCTGACGGAACCAGGTATTGATCCCCCTCGTGGTGTCCTTCTGTACGGTCCTCCTGGTACCGGTAAGACCATGCTTGTCAAGGCAGTGGCGAACAGCACAACCGCCAGCTTTATCCGTGTAAATGGTTCCGAATTCGTGCAGAAGTACCTCGGTGAAGGACCTCGCATGGTCCGTGACGTTTTCAGAATGGCCCGGGAGAACTCCCCAGCTATCATCTTCATTGATGAAATTGATGCCATCGCCACCAAGCGTTTCGACGCCCAGACGGGTGCCGACCGTGAAGTTCAGCGTATCCTTCTGGAACTTCTGAACCAGATGGACGGTTTCGAGCAAACGAGCAACGTTAAGGTCATCATGGCTACCAACCGAGCGGACACTCTGGATCCTGCCTTGTTGCGTCCCGGTCGTCTGGACCGCAAGATTGAGTTCCCGTCCTTGCGCGACCGACGTGAGCGCCGGTTGATCTTCACCACAATAGCGTCCAAGATGTCCCTCTCCCCTGAGGTCGACCTGGACTCGCTGATTGTGCGCAACGAGCCGCTTTCGGGTGCGGTTATCGCGGCTATCATGCAAGAGGCGGGTCTCCGCGCCGTTCGTAAGAACCGCTACAACATCATCCAGTCCGATTTGGAGGATGCCTATGCTGCTCAAGTGAAGACTGGACAGGAATCCGATAGGTGCGTTATTTTCCTTGCTGTATTTCTGTTTGGCTAATGACTAACCAACGTTAGACTCGAATTCTACCGGTAAATCAGGTATACAAGAAGCGCTGGGTTTGAGTTGGCCATGTGTTTGCAACAACAATTAGGCTGGGTCTTAGCTGTAATACTGTTAGGCATAACACATCAAGACAATGATTGACGTATCTAGGGATTTCTTGACGTAGGTTGCTTGAGCATATATGAACATTGTTATTACAGCGATTCGACACAGCACATGATTATCAGTGTACAGCAGAGCACAGCACTTAGAAGGGGAGCTACCGGACCGGAGCTCCACGGCAGCGTACCTGTCAGCTGCTCACCCGGACAGGCAAGGTCCCGGGCGCGGACTTACGATACTCGGATACGGGTACAACAGGCAGCAGGCCAAGGCGGTCTTACATCATCACTCTAGCGGCAGATAGGCTGATAAGAAGCGGTAAACGGCGTTGGGGAAGAACAATCGTCCTCCTTCCCCAACGACTGTCGCTAGTAATGGTGGTTTGACAATGAGATAAATGGGTATAGTTGACTGCGTATCTTGAATCAAGATATTTAGTCAGAAGTGTTGATGGAATTCCTGAAGATAAAACAATCAAACTTGAATTCAGGCACCGCAGCTCTGCTGGCGCTACCAATTACCTTAATTCATGAGAGATAAACCCCGTGATTGAAGATCCCCTTGCCAATGACGCAGCCGGGGCAGCCAACCATTGGCTGGCCCGCAGCAGGACAGCCTGAGGCGGCGTGAGGTCGCTCCGCAACCAACCAGTCACTCGCATCATCGCCCTTCCTCCCATTCCCTCCCCCCCCCCCCGGACCTGACCGTGACCGTGACCGTGACCTCCTCCTTCAGCTCTCTTCCTCGCCTCTCTCTCTCCGTCTTCCACCTCGGGTCCCTTTTCCTCTTCCCATCTCCCTCGAACTTGGTTCATCCATCATCGACATCTTTATTCATTCTCCTCACTCCCGTTCTTTTCCACCCTTCCGTCATTGTCTCTCTTTGAGTCGTTCCTTCCGGGGTCGCCGTTCATCATGAAGTCCGTCTCTTTGCTCACAGCATCTATGCTGTTGGGCTACACCTCCGCCGAGGTTCACAAGCTCAAGCTCAACAAGGTCTCCCTTGATGAGCAGCTGGTAAGTATACCATCAAGGCAACTGTCGGCCTTGTATTCAGCTCAGCTCTTCTTCCAACTCGGAATCGCTGACCTATTGAATGAAGTCCACTCATAACATCGATGCCCATGTTCGCGCGCTGGGTCAGAAGTACATGGGCATTCGCCCCAACATCCACAATGAACTGCTCCAGGAAACCCCGATCAACGACCTGAGCCGTCACGATGTTCTTGTCGATAACTTCATGAACGCCCAGTGTAAGTCCCTAATCCATTGGTCTCCAGGGTGAGTGGCTGCTTATCGTCTTCCGTAACAGACTTCTCCGAGATCGAGCTTGGTACCCCTCCCCAGACGTTCAAGGTTGTTTTGGACACTGGTAGCTCCAACCTCTGGGTGCCTTCTTCGGAGTGTGGCTCCATTGCCTGCTACCTTCACAACAAGTACGAGTCGTCTTCGTCTAGCACGTACAAGAAGAATGGAAGCGAGTTCGCCATCCGCTACGGCTCTGGCAGTCTCAGCGGCTTTGTTTCCCAGGACACTCTCACCATCGGTGACCTGACCATCAAGGAACAGGACTTTGCCGAGGCAACTCAGGAGCCTGGCCTGGCCTTCGCTTTCGGCCGGTTCGACGGCATTCTCGGATTGGGTTATGATACCATTTCCGTCAACAAGATCGTCCCACCCTTCTACAACATGCTGAAGCAGGGACTTCTGGACGAGCCCGTCTTTGCTTTCTACCTTGGCGATGCCAACAAGGAGGGCGATAGCTCCGAGGCCACCTTCGGTGGTGTTGACAAGAGCCACTACACTGGTGAGCTGATCAAGATCCCTCTTCGCCGCAAGGCCTACTGGGAGGTCGACCTCGACTCCATTGCCCTTGGTGATGACGTTGCCGAGCTGGAGAACACTGGTGTCATCCTTGACACCGGTACTTCCCTCATTGCTCTCCCCTCCAGCCTTGCTGAGATGATGTAAGTTCCTCGGGTGAATTGTCCACGGATATGATGCTAATAGTTGCACAGCAACGCCCAGATTGGTGCCAAGAAGGGCTGGACTGGTCAGTACACCATTGACTGTGCCAAGCGCTCCTCTCTGCCCGATGTGACCTTTGCCTTGAGCGGCCACAACTTCACCATCAGTGCTTTTGACTACACCCTTGAGACCCAGGGCTCTTGCATCAGCGCCTTCATGGGCATGGACTTCCCCGAGCCTGTTGGTCCTCTGGCCATTCTGGGTGACTCCTTCCTGCGCAAGTGGTACAGCGTCTATGACCTTGGCAACAGTGCCGTTGGTCTCGCTAAGGCCAAGTAAACGATGGGTTCATGAAGCGTATTCTCATGGTATGTACGCGAGAAGGAGGGGATGATATCGCATATATTAGCTCGACCCCCTAGCGCGCAGTAATCATTGTTATTATGTTATGGTTCAAGAGATGGGTCAAATTCGAACCCAGTTGTTGCTTTAGTCCAGGCTCTTCCCCACAGATCAATGTGTACTGCCGTGACTAGTTTCGTAATCATCGTGTATGAATTTATACCAGTACAATGAAAGCACAATCAGATCGTGTTGAGATAGAGCATCTTACAGGAGAGTTCGTTGGTCTTTGTTTTCTTTGTGCAACTGGATGATGACGAGGTCTGGGCCGGGAGCCGGTGGTTTTGACGGAAACCCGAGAGTCTCGCCCCCCCTAACCCACCCCCCCCGCACAGGCCAATTCCAAGTTCGAAGGTCAGCCAAGCGGCCGATGGACCGACGCTTGGCACAACCACAACCAGTGTCAACCACTCTCTCTTCCCTCCCAGCTCTTTGCCGCTGCTGCTGCTGCTGCTGCTGCTGCTGCTGCTTGCTGGAAAACTTGCTACTGCTCCTCTTCCTCCAGCTATTTTTTGGGGGCGTTCTTCTTGCTCCATCTCCCCCACCCAACTCACCCACCAACCACTTCCACTCACTTCCTTCACCACTGACCAGACTTGACTAGCCTACTCAGTACTTCCTTCCCACTCTCGTGACCTCTCCTCCTACTTTCCCTTTCCACCTCCCCCCCCTCATGCAGCTTTCTTGTTCCTGATCGCATCCCCAATTACCACCCTCTTTCATCATCATCAATCCTCGTATTCTGGTCATAGATTATCCTTTTGACACTCGTCTTGCTAGCCTTCTCCAACCGTGGTTTGTGTTTCGTCGCGTTCGATTCGCGTGGCGAACCATTTGCGACCAGCTGATCCATAGAACTGACCGCGGTTGTCTTTCATTCAACCCCCATCTTTTGACCATCACAGCTTCGGAGCCCTTTCTTTGTGCTTTCGGGTTCGACCTTCTACCTGCCTACCCACCTACCTGAATAATAAATATAGTACGGATCCGAGCAATCGTCTCCCCGTCGCGTCTCTGGATCACAACAGAACCCCAGTTTACTCCGATCCTTCCCTCCTGCCTCCATCTTTCTACAGCGGCTGCAGCGGTTATCGAAGGCGTTGTCTGGGTTTTTGTTGCTTCGGGCATGGCTTCCTAGTTCCTTGGCTCGATCTTTCTTCCATCGCGATTTCCGTCATCATTTGTTTTACACACCACCCTTCCTTCCTCGACTCTCATTCCTGAGAAGGAGGGAAAAAAGGGTTGGTTGATTTCGCTACCGGACCAAGGATCGGTGTGGGCTCCAATATAAATGCTTGTTCGGTTACCATCCAGCCTTCACTACCCGATCACCGTAACGTCGTTGCTCAAACAGCCCGGCGATGCGGTGGAAAGGGAGGATGCGCTGTTCTGGTATGTCTACCAGACCACCGTCACGGAGGGTGACGGGCTGGGAAATAAAGTCGAGGTGAAGCGCAAATTTCCGACCAAGTTTGAGTCACCCGTCGATGGCGAATTGGTTCAGTGGAGGATTGCAAAAGGGGATGTCATCAATGGGCCGTATGTCACCATATTGAACTGGAAACCCACGTTTCGAGGTTCGATTGCTTTCACATCTCGGGAGCTGAGACTGACCTCATCTGCTATGTTCCAGGGTCGATTTCATGGTGGTCGATGAACCATGTGCTCACGAGGTTCAGTTCGGGGGACTTTGCGCAGAGTGTGGGAAGGATATGACTGCGTATGGATCCTAAGCGCGCGTAAACGTTAGGCTGTCGACGGATTACTAATGTTTGAGTGATAGATCCACCTACAACTCGGATTTCCAAGATGTCATGCGCGCGACGATCCCGGTGACCCACGAAAACACAGGTCTGACCGTGAGCGAGAGAGAGGCGACGCGGGTGGAAGAGGATGCAAAGCGCAGCTTGTTGTTAAATCGGAAGCTGTCCCTTGTGGTCGATTTGGATCAGACGATCATCCAAGCAACCGTTGACCCAACGGTGAGGGAATGGATGGAAGATAAAGACAATCCAAATCACAAGGCTGTCAGCGATGTCCGCGTGTTTCAGCTGGTCGAGAATGACCCGGGAGCGCGTGGAGTATGGTACTATGTCAAGTTGCGGCCCGGGCTGGAGTCCTTCCTGCATAACATCTCGGAGATGTTTGAGCTGCATATCTACACCATGGGCACTCGGTCTTATGCGCAACATATTGCTGCTATCATTGATCCCGATCGTAAGCTGTTTGGAGATCGCATTCTGAGTCGAGACGAGAGCGGTAGTCTCACAGCCAAGAATTTACATCGGTTGTTCCCTGTGGACACTAAGATGGTGGTCATCATCGATGACCGCGGGGACGTTTGGCGCTGGAGTCCCAATCTCATCAAGGTCGTGCCGTATGACTTCTTCGTCGGCATTGGCGATATCAACTCCAGCTTCCTGCCCAAAAAGCAGGAACTGGTCTCTCCAAGCACGCCGGGCGAGAAGTCTGCGGCCAAGTCAGTAAAAGTATTGCCCCGTGAGCACAATGCTAATGGAGCTACGTCCAGAGCAGGGGATCAGCCGGAGATGTCAACATTGGAGCAGCTAGTGACAATGGGCGGAGGAGACGACCCTCGCCTACTGCAGGAACAGAGCGATGCACAAAATGAGACGATCATGCATCAAGTCGAAGATCGACCGTTGTTACAGAAGCAGAAGGAATTGGATGCAGAGGAAGACGCCGCTGAAAGTAGTGATTCATCAAGTAGCATGGACGACTCACCGGAGATCAACAAACACCGACATCTTCTTCTGGAGGACAACGACCGGGAGCTGTTTGATCTGGAGGTTCGTCTTGAGCAGGTGCACCGCAACTTTTTCGACGAGTATGACCGGCGGAGATCACGAGCGCTGGGAGGACGAGTGGCAGCTTTGCGCGGCGAGAAGACACCCTCAAAGGACAAGGACGTCGACTTGAAGCTAGTTCCCGACGTCAAGGACATTATGCCGGCCATTAAACGCCGTGTTCTCAGCGGTGTTGTTTTGACCTTCACAGGAGTACTTCCCCTTGGCACAGATACACACAACGCGGACATCTCGCTTTGGTCCAAGAGTTTTGGTGCGACCATCAGTACGAAGATCAACTCAAGGGTGACCCATCTCGTGGCCGGACGGAACCGCACGGCTAAGGTTCGAGCTGCAACGCGGTACCCCAACATCAAAATCGTGAGGACGCATTGGTTGAGTGACTGCTTAACACAATGGAAGCGTTTAGACGAGAAGCCATATCTCCTGCCTGTGCACCCAGATGATCGCGAGCCGCCAATTTCGCCAGGCCAGGAAATGGAGAGTTCTTGGCTGTCATCTGAGGAAGGGACGGGGGTCGCTGGCACGGAGGAGGACGAGCCTGAAATGACGGCCGATATCTTGCAATCGTCTGGGTTGACCGAGATGTCGCCTATTGGGTATGACGCCGATCAACAAGCCGCTATCCACGAGGAATTGAAAGAGTTTCTTGGCAGTGACGACGAGAGCGAGAGTGACAGTGATGCCTCCTTCATGGAAGATGCTCCCACAACGGCGCCCAGCAAGAAGCGAAAGCGTCCGGAGGATACAGAAGATGAGGACGAGGGAGGAGATGACAACGGAGACACGGCGCAAGATGCCGGACCCCCCCATGGCTCGCGACTCGCGCAGCGGATTCGGCGGGTGTATGAGCGGCCCGGCACCGCACTCTCCCAGGCAGTGTCTAGTGCAGCAAACTCGGAATCGCCCAGCAGTGAACCGGAGGTGCAGGCCGATGCGCCTTCGGGATCGCAACCAGCGGACACGATGCCGGCTCCGGAAGAAGAGGATGATGAGCTCGAACGGGAGATGATGGCGGCGTTTGAAGATGGTGATTACGACGCGACGGCCGAGGAGAAGATTGCGGAAGAGAACGGTTGACATTCGTTAGCTAGACGTTGTCTTTGTTCTGTGTGGATAGGCTAGCGGTCATACTACGCTGTTGTCATCGTTGATAGGAGCATTTTTGATTCGAGATCATGCTGGCAAGGCATAGCGAGGGCGTTTGTGCGCGATTCCGTCTACGAGGGGGTCAAACTTCATGGGGGTGTGACATAGGACTCAGGTATAGGGTTTAGGTTTTTCGAATTTGAATGTGTATTTGGATTGAATAAGGTATCGGCATTAATGTAGACTGAGTGTCTTTCGCAGATGGACATATAACTATCGACCAGTAGGAAGAGAAAGAGAAAGACTTAAGAAAGGGAAGAAAATTGAATATGAATACACTTAAGGTAGATTGTTCATACACCAGAGCAGCCAATGAGTCAAGTCATGCAATCATCTCACATCCATCATATCAATGCGAAACATCAAGATCCAAGTCATCCAATCATAAGCATCACCAGCATTCTCTCACCCGTCCTCCTCGCACAACTTCAAGTTATACTATGTAGAGTACTAGGTAGGTTCCCCAACAAGAAAGGAACCATAAGAAAAAAAGAAAAATCATCGATAAATATCCCTATGCACCTGCCACGACATGATCATCATCCACGCATAGAAGATGGTATTAATCAATTCGAACGCAAACGCCATTCTCCAGCAATTACCTAAAGACCAAGTCAAGATTAGCCAGTCGCTCATTGAAACGTTTTTGGGTTGCGTAACACCACCACCACCAAGAACAAACTAAAAACATCCGAATTAACTGTTTTTTTTTTTTTTTTTTTTTTTTTTTTAAAAGGGTTTGCAGGGGGGGAACTGGGCCGACATACAGATCGTACTCTCGGTCAACCACGCCAAGGTCTGGAGATTATCGCCGGTGGGGTGGTTTTTCACCAGGATGAAATTCCGGCAGTTGCTGTCGACGTTGGCGACGACGCCGTACATCTGCAGGCTCGTCTCGATCAAGCCGGTCAGCCACAGTGCGAAGAGGATGAAGCTGCCCACGAGGATGATGCCCGGGAGGAGGAAGCGTTGGGCCGTGAGGACGTAGATTAGAATGATGAAGAAGAGGCCAAGGGCGGCGGTGACGGTCATGTAGGGGAAGAGCCTTTTTTTTTGTTGTTGTTAGTTGGTTTTGGGAGGGGGGGGGGGGCTGTGGGTTTTGGGCCGGGGGCTGTGTGGCCTGCCTGCACACTCACCATGGGATATCCAGATGGAGCTCGTTCTGGACGGACATGAACCAGGCGAAGATCCCCAGACAGATGGCGTTGGCGGATA